AACAGAACGAAGAGGGTCTCCAGCCCCCATTACTCCTCTCCAGCTGGCCAATCCTGGTAGAGGTTGGGATGGCCCCTCCAATCCAGGGCCAAGCCAACTGCTGACTTTTGGGATGACGAAGAGGATGTCAAGTTTGATCCTGTCTTGTTACCTGCCCCCCACCTGAACTAACCACTGCCTGATGCTGCCTCTTGAGCCTTAGGGCCTCCTGGGTATTATGTTGGTTTTTTATGTGTGTGACTAATAAACGAGCTTAAGTAGTTCCTTTTGTACGTAGCAATGGTCTCGGGTGCCTGCTTGTCCTGCCTCAGAAGTGGGCACATTTCTGGGTGCTGCCATTGTCCTTGTGTGCCAGCAGTCAACATGGCCATTGGCTTTACCCAACTGCCCTCCACCCCAGAGTTAGTTGTATCGTGGTGCGACGCAAGAGCTCAGCTGTTGTAGGTAGCCATTGCCCCCTGCTATCTCTCTTCTTCTCTCTCCCCCCCCCACCCCCCCGAGCTAGCTGCATTTTGGCACAAAGCCCCTCTTTCTGGGCTGTTTATATGCAGCTGGTTCTTGGCCACCCAGAGCTTGCCACAGCGTGGGGAGACCGAAGCTCTTCCCTGGTGTTTGTTATGTGTGGCCATATTCCAGGAGCTTCACCCCAGAGCCGGCTGCATCCCAGCATGACCTGAGCTGTTTTGGCAGCTGTTACGTGTTGCTGTAGGCCTGGAGCCCCACCTGAGAGCTGGTTGCATTTTGGCGGTAAGTGTAACATCACTATATGGTGTTATATACTTCCGCCCACCCCAGAGCGGGCTGCATTTTGACGAAAGCCGAACTCTTGGCAGCTGTTGTACATAGCCGTTCCACCCCAGAACAGGTTGCATCTTTCTGAGGAGGGGGAAGCAAATGGGCTGATGCAGAGATGGAGAAGTCTGAAGCCCCTCTCCTGCTCCTAAGCTACACCCACCCCCAAACCCTATCTTATTATTAGCCATGCCCCCACCCAGTCCCCTTCCTCTGCTGGCAGCCTGCCAAGTGATGTCACTGCATTGGAAGCCCCACCCCTTTTTCAGTCACATACACTCAGCTATCCAAGCCCTCCCCATGCTCAAGCCCCACTCCCTCCCACCCCAGCCATGCCTGACATGCCATCTAGCAACACCCTGGCCACAGGCCATGCCCACTCTCAAGCCACGCGTCTTTGTTCCCTATATTTCCCATTTGCTCCCACAAGTCCCACCCCTTGGTGCCTCCCCCATCACTCAAAAAGACAGGAAAGCAGGTGACATGAGGTTCACACACACTTGGCTTTATCTGTACCATACAGCAGCCCCCTGCCCCCCATATCAACCCCGCCCCCTACCTGCCTCCCCCACTCTGCGGGCCTCGGGGGAGGAATTGTCCCTTGGGCCTGGGATTAATCATTACACGCTGGGCAAACACAGGCCTGGCCGAGGCAGTGGGGTCAGGGTCTCCTCCCCTCCCCACACTCCTCCTTTCTCTTCTCTCGCTCACTCGTTCCAACCCTGGCCAGGCTGCTCCCTCGGCCTTTCGCCCACACTTGTCCATCTGATGTGTCCTCCACTTAGACCCCAGAGCCGCCAGGCTTTGCTTCACTCATCCAGTCCCCCAATCCATCCATCACCCCTCTCAGTGATGGATCCACCCACCAGGCATCCCTCCGCTCTCTCTTCCACTCACATGCTCACTCATCCATCCATCCATTGCTCCACTCACTCATCCATCCCTCCATCCATCCCTCCCTCTTCTCATGCGTTCACCGACCCCCTTGTGTCTCCATCAACTCGCCCCCACGTCTCCTCATCCAGGCAGCCAATTCTCCACTCGCTCGTTCATTTGGCCGCCCACCCACACGCCCATCCACATGTTCTTTTTGCTGCTCACTCACCGATCCGCCTTCCCTCTGCCCATCCACCCAAACATCTGTCAATCTGGCCAGTCACTCCTTCACCCATCCATCCATCCATCCATCCATCCCGATGGACATACATCCCTGCCTCCTTCCGTCTATTCATCTGCACATTCCCCCATCTATTTGTCCATCCCTCCATCCATCCCTTCATCCATTTCCATAGGCACCTCTCCATCCATCTGTCCATCCATCCATCCCCATAGACATCCATCCATACATCCCAGGACTCATCCCTCCATCCATCCACACTCCATCCTTTTTCTTTTACACTCACTCGCTCGCTCACTCACCCATCCATCCACCCCTGGGCCCATCCATCCATCCATCCATCCATCCTCTCCACTCCTTCCCCACCCTGCCCCTTCCCCCTCGCCCCCTACCCCCTCCCTCACACATAGTCCCTCTTATCCCCCCCACCGCTGGCCCCTGACCGGCTGGGGGCGCCCCAGCACGCAGCACAGCAGCGCCCCACCCAGGATCAGCAGGGCGGCGGCCGCCCAGCCCAGGTAGAGGGCAGCGCCCAGCTCCCGCTTCAGCGCATCAGCCACAAGGGGGTTGTAGAAATCCTGGATGATAGAGTTGGCTGACCAACAGGCCGGGATGAGGCAGAGGAGGCCTGAGGTGACGAAGAGGGCGCCTGCCACGATGATCACCCGGGCCTTGTAGACCTCATCCTCCACGCAGTTGGTGCACTGGGCCCCCATGATGCCAATCAGGAGGGCAGCCACAGCCAGGAGCACAGACACCACCATGAGGGCACGGGCGGCCTGGAGGTCCTGGGGCAGTGCCAGCAGGCCGGGATGAGGCAGAGGAGGCCTGAGGTGACGAAGAGGGCGCCTGCCACGATGATCACCCGGGCCTTGTAGACCTCATCCTCCACGCAGTTGGTGCACTGGGCCCCCATGATGCCAATCAGGAGGGCAGCCACAGCCAGGAGCACAGACACCACCATGAGGGCACGGGCGGCCTGGAGGTCCTGGGGCAGTGCCAGCATGGAGTCGTAAACCTTGCACTGCATCTGCCCCGTGCTCTGCACAATGCAGTTCATCCACAGCCCCTCCCAGATGATCTGGGCCACCACAATGTTGTTGCCGATGAAGGCCGTCACCTTCCACATGGGCAGGGTGCAGGCGATGATGGCTCCCAGCCAGCCAAGGATGGCCAAGCTCATGGCCAAGAGCTCCAGCCCTGCCGATGCCATCGCTGGACGACAGGAGGTGGGAGAGTTTTTGTTGGGGAGCTGGAAGTCTTCACGGAGACACGAGGCAGGGAGGGATGTTGGGTTGGGCAGATGGAAGACCAATAGGACCAATGAAGAGTCTTTGCTGGGATGTTGGAGGTCTTCTGTGGAGAGACACCGGTTGGATGGGTGGATGGATGACCAATGAGACCAATGTATGAGTCCTTGCCGGGACGCTGGAGACCTTTGGAGAGACACCAGTTGGAGTGGGTGGATAGATGGACGTTGGGTTGAATGGACAGATGACCAACACGACCAATGGAAGAGTCCTTGCCAGGGGTCTTCTCCGGAGCTCCGTAGGCAGAGGGACAGATGGAGCCCGCGTGGGGCTGGCCAGGCCCACTGGGAGCAGCTAAGTCTGGGGTGGGGGTTGGTCCAGGGGGCAGTTCTGAGTGGGGTCAGGAGGGGTCGGATGAAGCCACAGAGGTGGGGCCTGGTGGGAGGGGGTGGTGCCTTACCGGGACCCTGGTGGGGCCAGGAGATGGGTCCAATTGGAACCGGCTGGGCTACCAGTTCAGGAGAAGGGTCCAATCAGAAGAGACCAGCAGATGGCCTGGGAGAGGGGTCCAAGCAGAACCAGCCAGGAGACAAGTCCAGGATCTTCGAGAACTGGGTCCAGGAATCTTGTCCGATCAGACCCGGCCAAGGTGGGCCCATACAGAACCAGGTGGGTCCAGGAGACGGATCCGGTCAGAACCAGCTAGCGAGTGGGTCCAAGAGAAAGGTCTAATCAGAACTGGCTGGGTGGTGGCTCTGGAAAATGGGTCCAGTCAGAACCGGCCACGACCTAGGCCCAGAAGATGGGTCTTTTCAGAACCAGGTGGGTCCAGGAGACAGGTCCAATCAGAACAGGTAAAGGCTGAAGCCCAGGAGATGTAGCCTTCCAGACCCAGGCGAGTCAGGAAAATGGGTCCAATCAGAACTAGCTGTGCTACGAGTCCAGGAGACAGGTCCAATCGGAGTCGGTTGAAACCCTGGCCCAGGAGAGGGGTCCTTCCAGAACCAGCCGGGTCAGGGAAATGGGTCCAATCAGAAAGGGCCAAGACTCTGGCCCAGGAGACAGGTCCAATCAGAACCAGGTCCTGGGGGCGAGGGATCTGGGAGTCGGAGGGCTGCGCTGTGGCGGGAGCCCAGGTCCGTGGCCTGCAGCTCGGCCAGCGCCAGGCTGTGCGGCAGGGAGGGGGAGGGGGGTTATATATACAGGCTCACAGGTGAGTGGGTGGGACGCAGGGCGGGCGCGGGGGTCGCCATGGTGACGGGGCACCAGGGGCAGCCGGTGAGTGCGCAGTGGGTTGTTTATCTCCTCACTGGAACGGTGCCCGGACCCCTGTCCTCCCTCTGAGCTGGGGGAGGGGAGGGCCGGGAAGGGCGGGGTTGGTGTAACGGGGCCCAGGATGCAGCTGGCTCTGGGGTGGGTGTAACAAGGGGCCCAGATTACACCCACCCCAGAGCCAGCTGCAATGTGGGTCCTTTGTTACCCCTACCCTAGAGTCAGCCTCTCGTTACACCCACCCTGGAGCCAGCCACAACGAGGGGCCCAGATTGCGGCTGGCTCCGAGGTAGGTGTAACAGGCCCAGGGCCTAGTGGCTTGAGGGCAGGCCGGGGGTCAGAGGTTAGGGTTGCTAACGGGACCTGGTTAATGAGTCACTTCCCCCGCACTGATAACGAGGCTGGTGATAACCATGGCAAACAGGACCCAGGCACCCGGGGGCCCGATCCTGGGCATTGCAGGGGGGGGGGGGTGC